CCAAATAAAAAATTACAGATTTAAACCGGAGTGTAGATTTAGATCATTTTGACCGAGTAGGTCATATAACCCCAGCGTCGGGGCGCCCTACGCTCAAATGTGCTTTGTCGTATGGACGACATCACGATAAATCAAGCCAAGGACGCATAGGTTCAAATGTTGTATTAACAATCCTTGATCATTCTATATCTAATTTGCTTAGATTAAAGTGCTGGCAACTTTGGTTCAAGTAATTATCACCTGAAACATGAATACACGCAGTACCTAATTACCCCTTATTGTTAGCCGCTCCCCAACACACGCCAAGTGTGCGGGGCGTAAATTTCCGTGCACGTGCACGGCGAGCACGAATCCGGGAGTGTAAGGAAATATCCGGGGCCGTACACGCGGAGCCCGGAAATCCATGGACGCGACCAGGACACGGCGAATTTCACGGGCGTGTGCGGGACTGGAAACTCTTGGAAACGTGGTTTTTCATACAGTGATGCACTTTGGAAAAGGAGGCTTATGTGTCTGCAATTAAGTTACAAGCATTTTAAAGAAAATATTACAATTTCACATTAAAATTATTATTTAAGAAATGATAACTTCTTACTTTTTTGCACCCTTATCATTATCCTATAAATAAGGTCTTCAAAGCGAACACTGACCGTGATTCCAAGGTGCCCCAGGACCTGTCTGAGTTTAGCGGCCCCTTCACCGCGCGGTATGTTAAGATCCATCCGCTGACCTGGCATGGCTGGGTGTCTATGAGAGCCGGAATCGGCACAGGTTAGCGCGCTAGTTTTCTTAGTCTCCATCGGATACCTTACGTACATACGGTTCTGCCATTTTCACCCCAGAAGAACGTACCTTCATGGCTGCCAGGAACCTTGTTACTGTTCCTATGTTCATCTTTGCTGAAAAAAACCAGTCTAAAATATGTGCGTAAACTATAAAGCTGATAGCCACATTAACTATAGCTCTGGCCTTAAGTTTCTTTAACAAATGTCACGTTTTTCTTTGTTTTAGAACCTCCATCCTGGTCAGCATCCTCGGAGTGGGATTCAGGTCACTCAGCTGACCGCGCAGATATCAACTCTCGCGAGACTGCAGATGCAGCAGGCGCATGGGCAGCAGCAACCAATGACCAGGACCAATGGCTGATGAGGGATCTTAGTGACGTAAGCGTCATCACCGGCATCATCACCAAAGGCAGGAACTACAGCCCTGATTGGCCATGGGACAAACATGACCAATACGTCACATCCTACACCATTTCATACGGCAATGAAATCGGTGATGAGACTTTCTACACCGATGCTGATGGACAAGTTACAGTAAGAATCATTCCTCCTTTTATTTAAATAGTCTATCTACTAAG